ACGACAAGAGTTAAGTCACATAAAGAAGAACAAAAGAGAAGAAAAGGTGGAAAGGATAGGAAAGGGAGAAGAAAAGATCAGTTCAGTAGAGCTAGACAAAAAACAAAAAGATAATTAAGAAAAAAAGAAAAAGAGAAAGAAGACAAGAAAAGAAAGGAAAACGCACATTCACGTATTCCTAAAATAAAAATTATAAGAGGAGAAAAAAAAAGTTACTGGAAAACAATTATTTTTTCAGAAGAGGCAAAAATTAAAGATTAATAAAAGTTTTAGAAAAGGAAAAAAAATTTTTTATATATATATATATAAGGTAACAAAAAACAAAAAAAAAGAGAGAAGAAGAAGAAGAAAAAAAAAAGTTCTTTGATTTTTTTTTTTTTGGGAGGGGTGGGAAGAATCCTGTATCTCCCTTTTGTCTGTAACCAGCCTCTTGTTGGAGTCTCTGGTCAGCTTGAGATCCTGTGGCTTGATTGGTTTCTTAAGTCAGTTTGTTGGAACAGGCAGAAAAATGCTCTGCTTTACCCAAGATTTTGAGATTCCCCCTCCCAGGTTAGTTTACTGGCAGGGTGATCTGCTTTGAGAATCACAAAAGAGGGGGATGCAGTGATGAGGCTAGGTTCTGGGTAGAGTTGAGGCCTTTCAACAAACAGTAGCTTTTCCCTGGGGCTATTTTGTGAAAAATTCACAGCGCCCAGCCTGGAGCCATTCTCAGGGTTTCTGTTTTTCAATTGATTGTGGAGGCTGCTAGAGGGAGGGGCAGCCTCTGGCTCTGGTTACCCAGTGAGGAGAGCCACTCCAATGGCTGGCGCCTGAGCTGGGTGACTTTTCCCTGGATGGAGCTGAGTCTGGCAGGTCACTTTGCCGTTAAGTTCTTGTGACCTGCTAAATGACTCGTTTTATTCCAAGGCCTGAGCTGGAGCTAGCAGCTCCTCCGAGCTTTGTCGGTATCCAAGATGGAGATCACCGGTGCTGGCGGGGGAGGGGTGGCCTTCCCTCCTCTGCTCCCTGAGAAGGAGTGAGGAAGTCGGGCTTCTACTCACGCTGAGTCTTGGATCCTGGGTCGTCTCTGGTCTGCAAACTGCAGGATGAAGATGTCCGCTCCTTGTCGGTTCTTGCTGGTGTTGAGTAGAATCGCTCGTCCGCTGCGTCTGGCTCCTTCGTCCCGGACTCTCTGTGTCTCAGGTATGACCCCGTGGCGGTGGTTGCCGCCGCGACCCTGCCGCCGCAGCGGCAGCTGCTGGCAAGTGCTCAGATGTGACTCCTTGCCTTGGCTTCCCCTCTCTTGACTAACTCTCTGTCCTGTGATGGCACACTTGGTGTGATTCTCTGGCTTAGGACTGTTCACTGGAACTCTAAAACTGCTTTCTATGCAAGAGCTTGTTCAGATTCCAGCTTCTCCTCCGCCATCTTCCCGGAATTCCGCTTATTTTTTTAAGGATGCAAATTGAGAATCCATTATTTGTTATATGAGGAGCCATGGTTCTGAACATGGTAACCAAGAAGCCAGCAACAGGCTATATTTTTTTGGTTACATTGACAATGTATTATTTTTAAAATGGTATTGATATTAAGTAGAAATTTATGTTTCATCTTGCAATATAAAGGTAAAGAAAACAGATTTTAGATTTTGCTTTCTTTTCATTTTAGCTGTACTTGGGTTTGAAGTCAGGGCCTTGTGTTTGCCAGGCAGGCAATGTACCCTATGAGCCATTTCACCAGTTTGTTTTTCCATTCTTTGTTTTCAAGATAGAGTTTCGTCATATGCAAGGCCCAAGAAGCAATTCTTCTATTTTGAAAAATGAGAGGGGAAATTATATACAGTACATTAGTTCCACTATATATAAGGATCTGTACTCTGACCATTATATTTTTCTATATACTTTCCATGGGTCTCTTGTCTCAAAAAATAAATACATTTAATTATCCTCATTGAATGGTAGCAGAAATATATTCATATGGACCTAGTACAGTTTTCATGGGTATGTGATTAATAAGTATTTTAGTCAGGACATCTGTGCATCTGTGTCCCATGGAAAGGTTTTTTCTATTAGCACCTGTGGAGGTTGGAAAACAGCCAACTGTATCAGTTCACATTTGTTTTGCCTCTCAGATTCAGAGTCATTCTTCAATATATGTCCAGAGATAATAGATGCGCTTCCTTTGGACATTTTGCCTTAAATGTGAGCACAGATTTAATAGAAATGTGTGGACACTGAAGGGGTTATGAGTTCCCACGAATTTTCTAGCTGAGTCATTGGAAGAAAGGAAGGAGAGTTTTTGGCAGAGAGGAAATGTAGCTAGGTGAAGCGTACTTCATTTCGGGCATAGAAAGTATTGGCAGATCATTAACGCTGCAGCTTTCAGAGTGGCAATAACCTTTATCTTTTCCCTCAACTCCTGAAGTAGCACCATGAATTCCCTTTCTACAGAGGTCTCTGCAGGTGACCCCCTGGCCACAAACTCTTTGAAACCCACCAGCAGCTTTTCTGTGGGGAAGCCACAGTATCTCTGGTTCAGCTTTTCCATACTTAATCACCACTTTGCTCTAGCAGGCTATTTATCCAGTGACTGCTGAACAATATTTGTGTGCTATCTGTACTTGTTTATCAGATACACTGAGGTATAAGTAATATAAATAACCTCACATATGTAATTATCTATAGTATCTTGAGTGTGGGCATATACATCTCTCCATGAATCCATTACCATAATCAAATTTAGCAGTGTGTTCATTCTCTCCAAATATTTCCTTATTGGCTCTTTTGATAGTGATAGGAATACATTTTGATAGCTACCTTTGTCATCAATTTTAATCACATAATGCAGTATTATTAGTGATAACACAGTGATTTTCCAATCTATCTATTTAAAGGATCTGACACTCTTGAGAGGTTTCTTCTTTAACAATTTTCCCACACCTCTATAGTATCATACTGAGTTTTATCATGTATAATAGTTGTTCTTTTTCATGGTTTAATAGGTTTTGGTATTGAATCTGTCTCTGACCAACTAATAGTATGGTCTATATCTCCTCATAGGCTGCAGAGTGATTTACTTTTAGGAGTCATTAGGGTACGTATTATAAATGTGTGAAAGAGGAAGTAAAGGCACAGGGTAAAGAATCCAACAAATCTCAAGAAACAAAGGGAAATTCAAGAAAGAGAGAGGTCATTGCCTATGAAACCATCATAAAAACAGTGAAGAAGTTGGTATAAAGTTACATGTAAAAATAAAAAAGACATCTCAAAGATGGTCAACAAATCCCATTGCCAAGATAATAGGAATCCAACAGAAGAGTAAATATTTGAGTAGATATTTGGAATTTAGTATTGTTCTGGCATACACAGGTAATGTAAAATCATGAAAATTTTGTGGAATGGTTAAATCAGGAAGTTTGGCATGACTTGGCACCAGTAGCTCAAGCCCATCTTCTACAGTAGCTCAAGCCTATCATCTATCTAGCTACAAAGGAATCAGATATGAAGGATCATGATTCAAAGACAGACAAGGCAGAAAAGGCTATGAGATTATTTCCAAAATAACCATCAGAAACAGGCTGGAGACTTGCTTGAGTGGTACAACCTCAGCTATAAGAAAGCTAGAAATGGCTATGCCAGAAGTTCAATCCCTGATATAAAACACAGATCCAACCAAAAAAAAAAAAAAAGTTTGACACAAATAACACCACACAGACTTTTAATATTGTATACTGGAACATGTAATGTCAACTCTTTAAAATGTTGAAATATATAATCCATTGTTTATTAAAATAGCTTCTTGACCTTCTAGCTTGAATTATGTATATTCTGATCAAAATGTCCCACATACCTATCTGGAAATATTAGTAATTGATTGTTCACATTTTATTAAAAATGTTGATATACAGGATACACATGAGGGTAGTCTAAGTAATCTCAAAAGCTGACTTTTTAAATTTGTGTAAAGAATTTGACTTGAATGGAATTCAATGACAAAAAAAATCATGCAAAGAAGCGTCCAATCATTTAAATTGTAACTCTTGGAAAAGTTTACCCATCAAATATAAATAATGCATATCTTCATCTAAATGACCCATCAGGAGTTAACTTTTTTATTTTTTATTTTTGCAATAAAGTAGAGATAGTAACCAGCAGAGACAGTAACCAGCCTAGACCATGGGTATGGGCATGTGGCAATGTTTCCTTCAGAGAGAAAAACAAATTCAGGAGGATGTAGCAAGGCCAAAAATTCAATTCCTTGTCCCCAAATCTATGAGATTATTGGGAACAATCAAGTATGAAAAAAAAAGAGGGGCTGGGAAGGTGGCTCAGTGGTAGAGCGCTTGCCTTGCATGCATGATGCCCTGGGTTCGATTCCTCAGCACCATATAAGCAAAAAGAAAAAAGCCGAATGGCGCTGTGACTCAAGTGGTAGAGTACTAGCCTTGAGCTGAAGAGCTGAGGGACAGCACACAGGCCCAGAATTCAGGCTCCACGACTGGACCCCCAAAAAAAACAGAGAAAGGAAACCAAGGTGATTTTTTTGCAGAGCTGCTGCTGCTGTTGCTAATAATAATAATAATAATAACAATAGCAGTAGTAGTAATACTGTTAGGCATTATTGGTATTTTTAAGAGTTGATTTCTAAAACCTTGAGTGAGTAGAATGACAAGCAACCACACATTTATAAGTAAAAAATGCTTTGTGTCATGGTCATGAAATGAAATTATGGAAGGTAAAATGGTGGTTGCAGAAGCTTGGGTGTTTGGACAACACATCTGCATTTCCTTGAATGCTTATACAAATTCTCAAGGGCAGCAGTGAGTAAATCATGAATTCCTGCCCAAATGATAGTATACAGACTGAGCTCATGTTAGTACATGGTTTTGAGATGAGGGACAGAGCCATGTGAGCTGTGACCCATCCATCCCGCGAGTATATAAAGGCCCTGGAAGTCTAGATGGCATTCACAGTTCAGAAGTACCCTCCTACCGCTCAGCTCAAGCCTCACCTCCTGACACCATGTGTGGCAACTACTACGGAAACGCCTGTGGAGGCTGTGGCTACGGCTCAGGCTGTGGCTCTGGCTCAGGCTGTGGCTATGGCTCAGGCTGTGGCTATGGATACGGCTCTGGCTGTGGCTATGGATACGGCTCTGGCTGTGGCTACGGCTCTGGCTGTGGTTCTGTCTGTGGCTATGGCCTGAGATACGGTTCTGGCTGTGGCTATGGGTCCGGCTGCGGATATGGCTCAGGCTGTGGTTCTGTCTGTGGCTACGGCTCCCGTTATGGCTGTGGCTATGGCTCAGGCTGTGGCTACGGCTCCCGTTATGGCTGTGGCTATGGCTCAAACGGTGGCTACGGCTCCCGTTATGGCTGTGGATATGGCTCAAACGGTGGCTACGGCTCCCGTTATGGCTGTGGATATGGTTCTGGCTCTGGCTGCTGTAGCTACCGCAAGTGCTATTCCTCCTGCTGCTAATCACCGGGGCAATTCTTTGTCTTCCAAGTGACCCCTCCACAGCGAAGTTCAGCTGAAATCCCTTCTATTCATTTACCTCCAAGGAAGTCGGGATTTGTGATCTTATGCCAGGCTCCTGAATTGGACTCAAAGCTTGGGAGGGCTCTTGATGTGGCATCACTGGAGACAGACGAATATTCAAATGGAATTCCTACAACTTTCTCTTTGCCTCTCTACAGCAGCTTTCTGTAGGATCACAGAAGGACTGAGTAAATGCTGTAGATGAAAATGGAATGAAATAGTTCTGAATAAAAGGATTTGTTCATTCAAAAGTCTTGTCCTGTTTGTGTTGGTGTCAACGCTAATTTGGAGAGTGCTGGCCTTAGAGAGTTTTTGATCACAATTTTGGAACAGCATATCTTGTTATTATTCAGATATCATCTTCTTTTTTACATGCTCTAATGTTTTAAATGTTAATTCATTGCATATAACTCAACTTCAAAATGATATGCCCCCAATCTCATGTCTGACATGGATAAAGCATTGGGATCAAAATATCAATGAGAGAGGCAAGCTGGATCCTAACGTAAGTCAGGGGCCTTCTACCTCTGTAAAAATTCTGAGTGCAGTGATGTGGGGCATGCTGAGATAACCCACTCAGAATCAAGGATAAGTAGTTAAACCTAGACCCCCCTTCTATCCAAGAAAGAAGCATAATGCCCAGTGGAAACATTTATGCATTGTAGCAGCATATCCTCACGAGAATGTGTTACCTCTGCCCATTTGTTGAGGTGATCGGCCAGTGGCCTGGTGAGAGATTCACTATATTGGACTACATCTATCATGGAAGGGACAATGTTTCAACTTCGTTGGAATCGATACTTATTTGGGTGATAGACTTGCCTTCCTTGCTTCTGCCTCAACTATTATCTATGGACTTATGGAGTGCATATTTAACATGATAATATTCCACACAATATTACTTCTGACCAAGTAATTCATTTCCCAGTCAGAGATGTATAGCAATGGGCACATATACACGGAAATCATCATTTTTGCCATACATCCCTCCATTGTGAAGCAACTGACTGGATCTAATGAACTTTTGGAGATACTATTATAGAGCTAGTTAGGTGGTAATACCTTGCAAGGTTTTAGAAAGGTTCTCCAAAGGCTGTATAAACCCTGGATCAATACCCAACACGTGATATAGTTTCTCCCACTGCCAGGATTCATGGATCCAGGAATTTGGGTTCCTTCTGTGATAACGTTATGCTTTGTGGCTTAGAAGTCCTAGTTCCAGGGGAGATGGTGCTTCTATGATGAGGCATGACAATGATTAATTGAACTGAAACTTCAGACTTCCCCCTCGCCCCTTTGGGCATCTCTTGTCCCTAAGTCATCAGGCTAAGAAGTGTGTTATGATGTTGGTGGAGATGATTGATATAAGACTACCAAGAGGAATTGTGGAATTTTCATTCCACAACAGAGATGAGAAAGTGCATGAATAGAGGACAAGAAATTCTTTAAGGCATCTCTTAGTATTACCATACTATACTGTGTGTAGGAGGCAGCAACAACCTGATCCAACCAGAGTAAAAAATAATCTAGATTCTTCAAGACCTCAGGGATTAGATTAACCCTCCAGGGAGCAAACCAAGATCCACTGGGGTGTTTGCCAAAAAAAATATAGAGTGGCTAATAGAAGACAATTATAAATAGCAGCTATGGCCATGTGATCAATTATAGAAAGAAGGATTATAATTGTCATGAATATTTCTTTCTACTTGGTTAAGAATATCAAGAATATTTGTGTTTATATACAACAGAGTAAACATAATCCTTGTTTTCTCTATTTATCATGTAATAGAACAGCAATTCAGTACTATAACAGCAATATCAATACTGAACTGTTGTCAACTTTACATTATCATCTTTAAATTTTGGGATGTCAGAGACAGATTATGCATTTCTCAAAAGATTTGCCACCTCTTCTGGGGATGAGAGGCTTGAGTTACATGCATGATAGTTATGCGATGCTAGCCAGAATGATGACATTATTATCTTTATTTGATGATTAGTTATTATATAAGGGAGTATGATATACTTTAAAGAATGGATGGAGAGCTACTTGAAGGCTTAATCATTTGTAAGGCACACATTTATGGGTTTGTTTGTGAGGGTGTTTCCCAAGGTGACAGGCATGTGGATAGTAATTGAGAGAGAAGAGCTATGATGAATGTGACTGAAACCATCCCAAGGGCTGCGGATCCAGATAGAATTAAAGGAGAAAACAAGAAGGAAGACAGACAGAGCGGAAGATTTTCATTCTTCTTGAGAAATACATCTCTTCTTGTCATTGTCACTTGTGAACATCAGGTTCCAATTTTCTTCAGCCTTTCAAAAGAGACTCACACCATGTACAGGCCAGGGAGCTTCCTGGCTTTTAGCCACAGGTCGGGGCTTCACCATTGGTCCCTTTTATTCGGAGGTTGTCAGCTTCTTAGACTGAATAGCTACCAGGCATCTCTGGCTCTCTAGCATGGAGATAGCCACTTTGGGACTTTCCAGCCTAATTATATCTAAATCTATCAATTAAATATCTTTTTTGTACAGGTTCTATTTCTTTAGAGAATTCTAGTGGAGTCCTTGGCTCAGTATTTTGAAAACCTCAATATATCCTTATCACTTCTTCAAAACTGTGCTCTAATAAATCACTCAGGTTTGTCCAAGGCTTCAGAATGAGGTTCAGAATGAAAATTGGATCTATTTGATACAAAGAAGTACACATATGGAAAAACAATATATATATATATATATATATAACTTTACAAATTTTGAAAATATGCATATACCAATAAATTTGCATCACAAAAGCTCAAAATATTCATCACATCCAAAAGTTTCTTTGCATTTTGCTTTCATTTTCTAGTCATGGGAACATTTACCATAATAACTCTTCCTTCACCAGGTTTTAAGTGCACAAGAGAGCATTGTCAACCATAGCATAGCAATCTCACAATCAAATCAATGAGTATGATCTTCATTCCTGAGCATTTCCCTATAGTCTCATAATACTATATTGAGTTCTCTCCCATAATGTGGTTGCTATTTTTTAAAAATGGTTGAACAATTCTTTTTATTAAGATACTTTCAAATGACCAACCGTGACTGATATCTTCTGACTGGACCCAGAGTGATTTGAAGGCTTTAGAAATCATTAATGTTCACAGGATAGTTGAATCAATAGTATCATGTAAGATTTTCTAGCATGTGAAAGAAAGAGGTATTAAACAGCCAAAAACAAAGTTAAAGCATAGGGAAATTCATGATGGAGAGATCACTGACTATAAGAAAACTATTTATCATACACTGGGAGATGTGAAATTAAGCCTAAAGATGAATAAGACATTTCAGTGAAAAAGGTCACATTGTTGATAATGCTACAATTGTTAAAAATATCTAGCAAAAATAGTGTAAGTAAATATTCTTAATGAAAGCATTTCATTTGCAGTATACAAATAAGTCTAAGGTCAAGAACACATGGCAGAATCATTGAATACTTTATTCGAAATATACTCCAAATAATCGATTTGAAGTATACAAATAAGCCTGAGGTGAAGCACTTGGTGTGGAATCATTAAATTGGCAAGAACAGCATCTTACAAACTTTGTAATGTTTTTGCAAGAAAACATTTAAATTCTACTTCTTAGCCTAATTATGTATAATAATCACCCTTCTGTCCAATAGGATACCAAGTCTTGTTCCTTCTAGTTTGAATTTTGTCTCCTCTTTGATCAAAATCTACCATTTATCCATTTTCCCAACACCACTTGAAGCATTAGTTAATGATTAATTACATTTTCAAGAGAAGCATAAAAAGGATAACAGCATAAATATGAGGCAAGTCTCAGTGATCTAAGCTGAGTCATTAAGATTTTGACTGCACTAGACTCAGCAAGGAAGAATTTATTGACCAGGATATGTCCTCCATATTTCTAGAAGAATTTGTTCTTTAAACTATAAATGATACAATTCCTCACACACAAGACCATTAGGAGTTTAATAAAATATTTTGAGCCCTCCACAAATGAGAAAGTCATAATTGGTCTAGAGAAGGATGGAATGGGCAAGCTTCTCTTCAGAGAGGAGGGTTTCAGAAGTAGCTATCATGTGTTAAAGTGTTCCATTTTAGTCCAAAATCCATGTAAAGTACTTTAGAGTCCTTTTGACATGGGGGAAAAAAGAACAGTATTAAGAAGGAAAAAAAAGGAACCAACATTATTCTACTGTTACTACTGCTGGCGCTGAGTGTCATGAAGTACTCTTGACTATCAACAGTAAAACACAAAAGAGGGGTTCTGAGACCTTAAGGAACAGAATGACAAGCAGACATATCTGCAGGTCAAACATGCTTTGGTGATGTGTTCTCTTGTGTCATGGTCATGAAATGAAATTATGGAAGGTAAAATGGTGGTTGCAGAAGCTTGAGTGTTTAGACAACACATCTGCATTTCCTTGAATGCTTATACAAATTCTCAAGGGCAGCAGTGAGTAAATCATGAATTCCTGCCCAAATGATAGTATACAGACTGAGCTCATGTTAGTACATGGTTTTGAGATGAGGGACAGAGCCATGTGAGCTGTGACCCATCCATCCCGCGAGTATATAAAGGCCCTGGAAGTCTAGATGGCATTCACACTTCAGAAGTACCCTCCTACCGCTCAGCTCAAGCCTCACCTCCTGACACCATGTGTAGCAACTACTACGGAAACGCCTGTGGAGGCTGTGGCTATGGCTCAGGCTGTGGCTATGGCTCAGGCTGTGGCTATGGATACGGCTCTGGCTGTGGTTCTGTCTGTGGCTATGGCCTGAGATACAGTTCTGGCTGTGGCTATGGGTCTGGCTGCGGATATGGCTATGGTTCTGGCTGCGGTTATGGTTCCAGATATGGCTATGGCTGTGGTTATGGTTCCAGATATGGCTCTGGCTGTGGCTCTGGCTGCGGTTTTGGTTCCAGATATGTCCTTGGCGGTGGCTATGGCTCTGGCTGCTGTAGCTACAGGAAGTGCTCTTCTTCTTGTTGCTAAAACTACTGCAAATCATCTTTTGCCACTGGACAGGGCTCCAGGAAGACGCTCAATTGAATTTCTCCTTAAGCATTTACTTCCAACCACTTAAAAATGTGGTTGGAAAAATGTGGCACCCGAATTGCACCCAGCCACTAGCTTGCACTTTATGTGCACTGAGTCCTCTCCACACCATGAAGACAGATCTCCTTTGGTTGCATATTTAAATGTAAATTCTTGTAATTTTCGCTTTTGCCCTTGTATGCTAACTATCTTTGGAAGCTCAGGCCGTCTGTACGATTGGCATATGTGTAAAAGTGAAATGAAAATAGCCATTTCTGAATAAAATCTTCCCTTCACAAAACATTTGGGTCCTCTTTGTATTAATGACATCATGTGCTATTGATTTTGCGCTACATTGATTCGAAGCTCTTAGTTTTTGGAGTACATGAGTGTGAGTAAAATTAGGCTACAGCCACTGCTCGGGGAATGAGAAAAGACTTGCAACTCCCTGCTCCCCACCCCTGCAATCTTCACATTTGTATTCATTGTTTTGATTGGTTGCTGTTTACGAGCCCCAGCTGGTCATGTTACAAGAATAAAAAAGGAGCAAGAGAAAATGAGGAAGGTGATGATCTCTCATTGATAACATTTGCCCTCACATTGAGGAAGCAAGTCCTTTCCCTGCGTTTGCCTATCTTGGGCTATGATTGTGTCATATGACCATTTTTAGCTGGAAACAACTAAAGAAAAAAGATTCATGGACATGGATTCTGGCATCTACTCAGGAGTGGTTGCCAAAATACCATTGGTTTTGTGTACCAAGGGGAAAAGATACAACTAGAAGAAACAAAGCTTAGAAGAACATATGTCTTACAAGTAATTTTAGTTAGGAAAGGTGTGCAAGAGATGGCTTCACATTCATTTTGGCTCAAGTGGGAAGAACTGAGATTACTATCTTACTCTGTTTCTATCATATTATCATGTGTTGCTATAGGGTTATTTTATATTTTTGCTTTTGTGTGTAACAAGTGATTTATTTCTCGTGTTTCTCTATTTCCATTCTCATTCTTATCTGCCATGCACAGTCATCTTATAATTTATGCTATTTTATATGCAATCATCACATTTCAGCTCAGAGAAATCCTAAGGGATAGTCTTTTTATAAGTTGAATACTCTTAATGAATAAATCTGAGATCTGAATTCCTTCAAATCTAAATCTTTTCTTTTGCCCTGAAATGGAATCTGATATACCATGAAACTATTCCATACAGAAAACTATCCAAAATTATATATAAAGCTACCTTCAGTTTACATGTATTATGCTTAGAGTATAGATGAATTTTATGCTTAGACATGAGTCCCATCTCCAAGCTATATAATTATGTGTGTATTGCAAGACCTAAAAATATCAGTAATTTACAACTATTTTTTACAAAGCTTATAGTAAAAAGAAATACTCAACATCTATTATACACTTAATCCACTAAGTGTATGGTAAAAGTATTACTGAATAGCTTTTTGAAAACCTTTCTTTACTCAGCATCATTTGTGTTGAAAATGAATCCATCTGTGCTTCTGTGTGTATGTTTAGATAACTATAAAATGCTTGTATCATAGGAATGAATAAACGGAATGACTAAGGAAGAAGATAATCAAGTTGTTGTTCTATGACTGTGATTTATAATTCATACATGGTACACTATGTGCCCTTTTGGTTGCTCAGTGATATGCATAGATTTATTCTAGTTCTTCTTTGCCATGGTATTACAGCAGTGAATGGTGAAAATCTGAGAGAGAGAGAGAGAGAGAGAGAGAGAGAGAAAGAGACTCACTTGATCATTTCACAATTAAAGACACATATAGATTGAAATAAAATGTATAGGTGGTGCCAGGAACATTTTCTCATGCTTATAATCCTAGCCACTAAGGAGACTGAGATGTAGAGAATTGACATTCAAGACTCCATCTCCAATGATAAAGAGCAAGGTGTGGTTGCACCCCTGTTATTATAGCTATTCTGGAAGTGTGACTGGGAGGATAGCAATCTAGGCTGATCCAGCAAAAATGTGAGGTCCTCTGGAAAATAATGAGAACAGCAAGGCCTGGGAATGCTGCTCAAGTGGTAGAGTGCCAGCCTAACGAGCGCACGACTCTCAGTTCAAGCCCCAATAGGAAAGAATGGACAAAAATATTTTATGTAAATAGAAAACAAAAGAGAATAGGATAGATGTGTCAGCTGAAATAGAAAAATATAAAGTGACACAAAGAATGTCACTATTTAATGATACAGATAGTCCTTAATCAAGAACTATAGAATATAAAATATAAAATAATGTGTTACAAGTGACCACAGATGTCTGAAGGACTGGGGAAATGGGCCTAGACAGAATTACATGCTAACTTATTTACCATAGCTAAGATATGGAACCAGCCCAGATGCCCCTCAGTAGATGAATGGATCAAGAAAATGTGGTATATATACACAATGGAATTCTATGCCTCCATCAGAAAGAATGACATTGCCCCATTTGTTAAGAAATGGGAAGACTTGGAAAAAATTATATTAAGTGAAGTAAGCCAGACCTGAAGAAACATAGGCCCCATGGTTTCCCTTATTTGCAATAACTAGTATATGTCTGAGATAAGCAGAAACGGTCAGATAAGTTGATGTTAGGTGAAATGAACCCCAAGATAAGTATTCAAATGTTTTTTCTTTCATGTGATTGTTTCTAGCATCTTTATAAGATGATTTCTTTGTTGCTTTGTATGTCCCTCCCCCACGATATAACCCCTGCTTTCACTGTATTGGATGTTGGTATAATTTGTGGAGAGGAAGGGAAAAAACAAATCGTTTAAATAGGGATACAGGTAGACCCATTGCAACAATGAGATGTACAGGTTGTTATGTCGAAAAACAAACTTTACAACTTTGGCTGGGGAAGGGGGGATACGGGGAGTGGGTGACAGATGGGAAGGTATAGGAAGGGGAAACAAAGGAGGAGGCAACAATGTTTGATAAAAAATGTACTCATATGTTGCCCATATAATTGTAAGTCCTCTGTACGGTATTTTCATAATAAAAAAAAAAAAAGAATTACATGCTAACAAATTAGACAACCAGGAAAGAGGAGATAGGGTCTCAGGAAACCACAACCTACAAAACCAAATCATGAGGAAATAAAAATATGAAAAGAACAATAAAAGCAAGAAATTTAGCCAATATTTAAAAGTCTCTCTTTGAGGTTACCCAATGAAATGAAATATGATGAAATTTAATGAAATAATACAAAATTTTCTTGAACTCACAAAATTGAAGAACTGTTCCTCTATTTGTTTCATGAGGCAAGTACTATTCTGATAGCAAAACAAACGGAAGTAATTATAGGAAAAGAAAACAATGAGGAGGTAAACATTCATCTTAGGTGGACATATCTGCAGAAATCCTTAACAACCCACTAGCAGACCAAACCCTATTAAACAATTATGGGGATCATTTTCCAGGTTCTGGTGGGACTTTTTCCATGGGATGCAAGAATGTTTTAATACATTGAAATTAAAGGACAAAACAAAAACAAAAAGACAACAAAACCCATATGCTCATCTCAGCAGATACAGAAATGATATTCAAAACTATTTAACACCCTTTATGAAAAACTCTCAATTATTTTAAATTAAAATGCAAACATTTCCATTCAGACTAATACCACAGTTGAACTTATACTTAGTGGGGACAAAGGCAGAAGCATAGCAAGGATTCCTACTCTCATTGTTTCTGTTCCCCATTTCATTGATAGTTTGAACTCGGGAGTAAGGCCACTAAAAAATCATATGCCTACATCAGAAAGAAAAAAAGTGGTCTCTGTAGATGACGTGGTGCTATACATGAAAATTCTGAGATATTCTGCCAAGAAGGCTTAGAAGTTCTCAATACATTCAATAAGTGGGTGAGATACAGTATCATCAAATAAAAGTCATTAGTATTGCTGGATCTTAACATCCAAGTATTAGAATAATAAATAAGAAAAGTAATCTCATTCATAATAGCTGCAAAATAACCCACAAATGTTTACGAATAAGTTTGATCAAGCAGTGAAAGAGTTTAACAATGAAACTTACAATATTTGGAGAAATAATTTGAGGTTGAGAAATAAATGGAAAGATACATTATGGTCAATGATGGATGGTTGGAATATTGTCGAGATGGCTAAAGTAACTGGAGTTATCTACGTATTGAGTTTATTTCATATTAAAATTCAAATTGTATTCGGTCAGAAATAGTAGCAATAACCCTAAAATGCTTTTGAAACTACAAAAGATCTGGGATAGTCAAAGTAAAAAGAATAAAATGAGCATAGTCAGGGTAATCAATTTCAAAATAATTATAAATTAAAAAAAATCAAACCAACATAGTTTTGGCATAAAAAGAGATACAGAGCCCAATGGACAAGAATACAAAATCTAGAAACAAATCCCCCGCCTTCATTGATTGTATTTGACCAAAGTTCTAGCAATGCAGTCTAAGAAATGGAAGAATTCGTCAATAAATGATGCTGGGAAAACAAGGAACTTCCTCTCAGAAAAATGAAATGACCTAATCTCAAATACACAAAAATTGCTGGATATACTCGCATACCACCCCATGTGCTTACTCACACGTTTATAAGCTAAATCTAGCTTTCATATATAAGGAAAAACATGTATCCTTTGTCTCTCTAGGACTGACTTCAATGAGCATAATTTTTCCAGGTCTTTCTATTTCTTCAAAAATGGTATAATATCATTTTTTTCCCCAATAGATGAGTAAAATTCCATTGTGTACATATACACCAAATTTCAAGGGAGAACTCAGATAGTGTAATTCCTTAGAAAGGAAATCCCAAAGTTCAGGGAAATAAAATACTAGGAAGCAGGTACTTGAAATGGGTGGTATGGGGTCAAGGGGTAAAGGGTAGACAATAAAGGTGAGAATGCAGTCAGGAATCCAATGTTACAAAGAGTGAGGGAAGGGATGAGTACG